CCAGGCCGCGTAGCTGGAGGTGAGCTGAAGGCACGACTTCCACCTCCAGGTGTGCGGTGAGTCTGCAGGGCTGGGGTGGGAGATCAGCGGGGCCAGAGCCATCTTGCCCCATGTAAAGGTTCCCTGCTGGCTGCATTTGCAACTGGCTTGCCACTACTGGTCTCCGCGTCCTTCCTCCTCTTCCTCACCCTGCTCTTTCTATTACCTCTTCCTCTTCCTCCTCAGGAACCACAACAGTCTTAGGCACATACAGTTTTAAGGAGAACACTTGTTTCTGCCGCTTTTGGCAAAAAGGCAAAAGGGGTTGGTAGAATCAGATTTACGATCCCAAACCAATGGAAGGATGAGGTCTTGGTGAATGAGCCCCGGTCGTAAAGAACTGGATTCCAAACCAAAGGCATGGTATGAGAGGCCACATGCTTAAATTGCTTCCAGCAACTTAAGGCTGTTTTCATGAGACTTAAATCTCCTCCCTGCCCAGCATGCACAACTGTCTCTTAAGCTTGAGTGGTTCGTTCAGCACCTTGATACTTCCTCACGAGCCGCTGACTTCAGCAGGATGCAGAGATCCTTGGGGGAATAGCTGTTATGAAGCAGGCAGTGTCGTAGTTGAGTCTGACTCTGAGGGCTGACATCAAGGACTCCACAGACCAAAATCACTCTAAAGCCAACAAAAGCTTTTTCATCCTCGAACTGCCGTGTTACCAAGGTCTGAGACCCTGCTTACTTGCTGCATTGTACAATAGAGAAAATGACCACTGCCAGAAGGATGACTCTTGAAACTCTGCTCTAGATACTGAACAGCTTGAGTAGATACTTCAAGCCATTGCTAAGTATCTAGTTGAGGTGCTTCAGGTCTTTCCTCCTCAAGGTTCCTTACAGATATTTCACTTTTGACATCTTGTTTAGATGCCGCAGGATCTTCCTCACGCAGGAAGGATTGCTGAAGCCCTTTTTCACGAATTGATAGTTTTTTTCAGAAAGTGAGAGCTTTTCTAAAGATCCTTGAAGCCATTCAAATATATTCTCCACCCATCCTTCAGAATCTTGATTTCTCTAATGATTTTTGAAGCCATCTCTTCCTTAGAGAACTTTCAGATTTTGCTTCAGACTTTGGTAGGTTTCTTCATTGTTATTCTTTCTTCTAGTGCTATTTTAGTTGTTTCTGGTATTGTAGGTAATTCTGCTTTTTCTAAGTATTGTATTATTTTGCCTTCTGGAATTCTTTTCTTGATCATATAATTTTTCATAATTGTGAATTATTTTCTTTTTATCGTCATATGAAATCCCTTCATCATCTGTTCATTGGTGAATCAGGTTTTTCTCTCTCTCTCCTTTTTCAGTCTATATGCCAAGCATCTTCCTGGTTTATTTGTGTTTTCAAAAAACTTTGTCTAGAGCTTCTAATTTTTTGTGCTACATCTTCATCCTCTATTAAATTCAATTTATGCTTTTTATAGTCCATTTGATTTTTTTAGATTTTTTTTTTTTGGTGGCTCTTTTTGTAATTTCATTTCTAACTTCTTATACTCCTCTTCTAATTTCTTTCAAGCTTGTCTCTTTTTTTTTAATTCTTCTTTCCCACATACATTACAGTTAGTCCTCTAATATATAATTTTATGTTATATTATATAATATAATTTTAATGGCTTCTGAAAGGGGGGTGGGTATAAACAGGGTGGATCATGTGGATTTGGGGGGCAATCCACAGAGGGAGGGATTAGCAAATAATTTTCCAAAAGTGAAGCCAAAGTCAACACAAAATTACATCATAGGAAACTCGGAACTGGGAATAGGCAGACTTAATACTGGCATGGAAATGGGCTGTTCCATCAAAGTTATGGTTGGGAGGGGCAGATATGGTGGGAGCAGGAGGCCACATCATATCAGGGGGGTACGCACCCACTATCTTCAAGCGGTGGCGTGCTCCAGCCTCCAAAGCTCTTCTCGTTCCTTGGGTTGCTCAAAGTCTCAGAGCCTGAGTCTTAGGCTGATGTTATGCAATGCCAGGTCTGTGGCTAAAAAAGCCCCCCTCATTTTTGACTTAATTCAGGAGGGGAAAGCGGACCTGGCAGGTATTACGGAGACCTGGTTGGGCAATGAAGGGGGGGTCCCCCTCGTAGAAATGTGCCCACCAGGTTTCCGCGCATTCCATCAGCCAAGGACTTGGGGCAGGGGTGGAGGTGTGGCAGTCATTATAAAGGAAGGTCTTGACCCTAGGGAAGTCACTGTCCCACAGACAACCGGATGGGAGTCCCTCCTCGTGAAGTGGGGTTATGGGTTACAGATGGGCCTGTTGATTGCGTACCTGGCTCCCTGCCACGTATCAGCAGCCCTGCCTGAGCTCCTCAACGTAATAGCTGAGGTGGCAGTTGAGACTCCTAAGCTACTGGTTATGGGAGATTTCAACCTGCCATCCATTGGTGAAACGTCTGAAGGGGCTTGGGAGTTTATGGCTTCCATGACGGCCATGGACCTGACCCAATTAGTTCATGTCCCTACTCACATGGGGGGACACACTCTGGATTTGATCTTTATCTCTGACCAGTGGCTGAATGGTCTAGATATAGGGGATATAGTCATCGAACCTTTGTCATGGTCAGACTATTCTCTCCTTAACTTGACCTTCTGACCACTACAACACACTGCAGTGAGGCGGAATCAATTAAATGGTTCTGCCCCAGGCGCCTGATGGATCCTGATAGGTTCCGGATGGAGCTTGGGCCATTTTCTGAGACCTTGGCTCATGACTCGGCTGAAGACTTAGTGGCATCCTGGGATAGGATGGCCGCTGGTGCTTTAGACCGGGTCATGCCTTTGCGGCCTCTGACCCGGCATCGAACCTACCCAGCTCCTTGGTTCTCTGATGAGCTGAGGGAGATGAAATGTCGGAAAAGACACCTAGAGAGCAGTTGGAGGATCAACCGTTCCGAATCCGACCGAACACTAGTGAGATCTTATATTAAGACCTACTTAGTGGCGATAAAAGCGGCAAAATGTAACTATTTTTCCGCTCTTATTGCATCGGCAGATAATCGCCCAGCTGCCTTGTTCAGGGTTACCCGCTCTCTACTCCAGCTGAGAGACCCTCTGCAAGGACGAGCTGAGGATTTTGCACAATATCTGCATGATAAAATCGCTCAGATTCGGGAAAGCTTGGACTCTAACTGGGTTAATTCGGATGAAATGACGTGGGCAGATCTTGAGGACATTATCTGGGATGAGTTTGATACTGTGACTCCTGAGGACGTGGACAGGTTACTGGGGAAGCTGAATGTGACCACATGTTTATTGGACCCATGCCCTTCCTGGCTAGTCCTGGCTACCCAGGAGGTTACACGTAGCTGGCTCCAGAGAATTATTAACGCTTCTCTGAGCGAGGGATTCTTACCTCCCGCCTTGAAAGAGGCAGTGGTGAGACCCCTACTTAAGAAGCCCTCTCTGGATCCGGCTGTTTTAGCAAACTACAGTCCAGTCTCCAACCTTTGCTTTTTAGCGAAGGTTGTCGAAAGTGTGGTGGCATGACAGCTCCCACAGTACCTGGATGAAGCTGTCTATCTAGACTCGTTCCAGTCCGGCTTCAGGCCTGGATACAGCACAGAAACAGCATTGGTCGCATTGGTTGATGATCTCTGGAGGGCTTGGGATAAGGGATGTTCCTCTATCTTGGTCCTATTAGATCTCTCAGCGGCTTTTGATACCATTGATCATGGTATCATGCTGCACCGGTTGGAGGGGCTGGGAGTGGGAGGCACCGTGTTACGGTGGTTCTCATCCTACCTCTCTGACAGGTCGCAGTCAGTGTTGACAGGTGGACAGAGATCGACCTCGAGGCCCCTTACTTGCGGGGTGCCACAGGGGTCGGTCCTCTCGCTTCTCCTGTTCAACATTTATGTGAAGCCGTTGGGGGAGATCATCCGTGGTTTTGGGGTGCGATGTCATCTGTACGCTGATGACACTCAGCTGTACATCTCCACCACAAACCACCCCAATGATGCCCTTGAAGTGATGTCCCGGTGCCTTGAGGCCGTATGGGTCTGGATGGGGAGAAACAGGCTTCGACTCAACCTTTCCAAGACTGAGTGGCTGTGGCTGCCGGCGTCCCGGTACAGCCAGTTAGTTCCATCACTAACTATTGGGGATGAGTTATTGACCGCCGCAGAGAAAGCTCGCAATTTAGGCATCCTCCTGGATGCACGACTGTCTTTAGAAGATCATGTAACAGCCGTGCCAGAGGAGCTTTCTATCAGGTTCGCCCGATTCGCCAATTGTGTCCCTTTCTAGACCGGGACTCATTACGCACAGTCACTCAAGCCCTCGTCATTTCCTGACTTGACTACTGCAATGCTCTCTACATGGGGCTCCCCTTGAAGTGCACCCGGAAGCTCCAACTGGTCCAGAATGCGGCCGCGCAAGTAATTATGGGAGCAACATGGCGCTCACATGTAACATCTCTTCTACGCGAGCTGCACTGGCTTCTGGTGGCCTTCCGAGTGCGCTTCAAGGTGTTGGTTCTTACCTTTAAAATGCTCCATGGCTTAGGACCTGAGTACTTACGAGACCACCTGCTGCAACCGATAACGTCCCACCAACCAATACGCTCTCACAGAGTAGGCCTACTCATAGTACCATCATTAAAACAATGTCGTCTAGTAGTTCCAAGGGAGAGAGCCTTCTCTGTGGGGGCACCTACTCTTTGGAATAAAATACCCCCTGGAATACGAATAATCCCAGATCTTCGCACTTTCCGACGTGCCCTGAAGACCTTTCTGTTTCAACAAGCAGGGCTAGCATAAACATCTAAATTCTATGCCAAGGTCTTAGCAGATACACTAAGTTGACTCAATTTATTATTTACTGTTTATTAAAAAAAAAAAAATTATATGTATATGAAATCTTATTCTGTTCGCCGCCCTGAGTCCTTCGGGAGAAGGGCAGTATAGAAATTCAATAAATAATAATAATAATAATAATAATAATAATAATAATAATATGCCTTTGCTGTGTCCCATAGATTCTGTAATGAAGTTTCTTCTTTTCTGTTCTCTTTAAAGAAAAAGTCCAATGCCCTTTCCATGTACTGTATAAATTCTTTATCTTGTAAAATTGTTAGATTCATTGTCCGCCTTACTTTCTTCTTTTGTCCCTTCCATATAGCATCTATCAGGTTATGGAAGCCATCTCTTTCTTAGAGAATATTCAGATGTTTTTTTGGTGGTGGATAGTTTTTGAATTGCTAAAATGGATTTTTCAACCCATTTTTGGGGTGTCAAGCGGCAAGTGGTTGGGCCTTCAAACGTAATATGACAGAGGCATATTTTGACCCACTCCTCGATTTCTTCGTCAAATACTTCCGGATTTTTTTGGTGGTGTTTTAGCCAGGTGTTTAGGATCCATGGTCCTAGGGAGGGCTTGTTTGGTTTATACACATCTTTTTTCAAAGTTTTCTGGCATTCATTTAGCCACTCCAAGAGTTTTTTCCCTGATTGTTTTGATCTTTTATTCTGTAGATTTTGTAATGCTACATTGAGCCATTGTGTTTTTATGTCAGCTCCGAGACCATGCTTCTTTGATGGGTCTGCTTTGATGTCTCTCGTTCTATACAACTCTGGGCAACCGGTGTAATTGCTTAGTTGTTTCTCTCTAGAAAAATCAGAAGGTTATATATGAGTAGGAGGAGACAAGAGCAACTTTGGGCTTGTATTGAGGATTTATACCTTCCTCCCTCATCCCATATAGGGTTGACCCACAATTTTGCACTCTGCAGATCCATTGGGAATTTTGCCTAATTGCCCCACCAGACATTTGTGGCAGGATTACTAGGACTGAAGGGGAAGCATAATTTATTTCCTTATATTTCCAATGAATTTACTCAGAATGATTAATTTCTCCTTGTCAATTATAATTTGTCTAGGATGTTTAGAACTGGGTGAAAAGAGTCAACTTTTACTTTCCCCCAACCTTGTTCCAGGCAATGTAATTCAATCCAAAACATTGCCAGAAAGCAAGGTGGTGACAACATTAGACTTACGCAACGTATTGCCGTTCTTCTCTTCTTGCTTCCAAGGCAGGAAGTTTTAGATCTTCTCCCTGCAATATGGGGAAAATGCCCTATGTTAAAAAGATAAATTTACTGACAGTGATTAAAGACAATTTTTTTCTAACAACAGGCTCGGGGTGGATTTTGACCATTATTTCTTCATCCTTAAATCTTAGGTACCAACTGGTGCCACTGTTTGGTGGTATTTTAATCATCTGAATAAAATTAATATTTATCTTTTCTCTCAATGAATTGAATGGTTGCTTGTCCGTCGTCTGTCTGTCTCTCTCCATCTCCCTCCCTCCCTCCATCCATCCACCCATCGCTGTTTCTATTTCAGATGTCTATATAGCCCATCACACAACAAAAATAATATTTAACGTGACCCATGAACATGTGTCCCTCTTACCGTTTTTTTGCGACATACAGAGTTTGGAATATATATTGTGTTCTTCTTCTGTTGCAGAGGAGGAAGCTTAACAAACTTTTCCTGAAATATAAACAAAACAGTCTATTTAAAAAAACCAAACTTACTGACAGACATTAAAGACCCTATGTTTTCTAAAAACAACTTTATCTGGGTTGGGGTGATGATTCTTCATTCTTAAATCTTAGGTGACAACTGATATCATACTGGAATAAATAAAGGATTAAATAAAAGATTAAAGGGGGTACAGTCTGGGTAGGTAGGAATGGGACAGATAGAAAGTCCTTGTACTATAGCCTCAAAAAGCAAAAATATGAATGAGTCCTTGAACTATTCTAATTGTATTACTCCTCTATGTATACTCTGGTGTGCCTGTTCGTATGCATGACCTACATTCATTTTTCTTTCCCTTCCTCATTTTTACTAGCTTAATGAGAGTTAGATGATAATGGGTGCCCTAAAGGAGGAAAAACTATTGTGCCCTTTCATTTTAAGTGGAAAGTGCAGAAAAGATGAACAGTTTTCTTGCTAAAAGTGATGTAAAATCTCCATTAGTAACTTGGCCTATTAAACCAATATTTACCATGACCTAAGCTAGATCTGAAAATTCACTGATTCATTCAACTTATATGGCTGCCCAACATGCAATAGAGACTTCAGATCTCTTTGCTTTCCTTCCATTTGTCTGTGTTTAATTCTCAGGGACTGGCTGGACAAATCCTTGCAATTTGCTTGGCAAGGTTTGTCAGAAGTGTTTTGGCATTACAAATTTCCTAGGGCTGACAGAATGTGACTGGCCCCAGTTCATCTAGCTGGCTTGTGCCTGAAGTGGGATGAGAATTCCTGGTCACCCAGTTTCTAGTCACATGGACTAACCCCAATACCAGACTGGCTTTTTTGGGTAGCTAACATAAGCTAAAAACTTATTTAAAAAATACAGCACAGAATAGAAACTTATAAACCTAGAGTCCAATTGCCTCTTGAAGAAGCACCTGTGGGACAACTATAATCCGGATGACTGAGATTCTCCATAGACATAAAACACAATTAATGATCTGTCTGTCTGTCCATCCATCCATCCATCCATCATCCTCTATATCTATTGAAGTGTTTTTTCCTACCTCTTCTTGGAACCTTCTGCGCTCCATCCTCCCGTGGTTGACAGCTAGAAGATAAAGATAATTCCTATAATTATCTGTGTTTAAGATGAAGATTGGCAACTACAATTTTACAGACATCCACCAAAGTGTCCACCATCCAAGCATCAAAAACAACAACATAATTGGGACTTCGTGTGTTGCAAAGAAGAATGCCTTTGTCACTTTTATCTCTGTGAAGGCTTCTATGGTCTATAAAAGCATTTTAGAAAATACGGGTAGGCGCAGGTGCTTTCAACAGCTCCAAAATGGCTCCATACTCATTTGCACCACTCAAGTGACCCTGACAACACAGATAAACCTCCAGGTGGCATTTACGACTCACTAAAACAGTGATGGCTAACCTTTTTGCCATCACGTGCCAAAAGCGGGGGGAGTACGGGAATGGGTCATGCACGTGCACGCCCATACCAAGAATTCTATGCATCCCAACCCCCCGCACACTACCTTACCATTCTCCCCCCGCTTTTGGCACGCGATGCCATGGTAGGCCCGGTAGGCCTGTTTTTCTTTCCCCAGGCTTCAGAGCCTTTCTAGGAGCCTGGGGAGGGTGAAAATGGCCTTTCCCACCCCCCAGGAGTGCCTCCGGACGCAGGAAATGACCCGTTTGCCAACTTCCAGTGGGATCAGAAGGCCCATTTTTTACTTTCCCCAGGCTCCAGAGCCTTTCTAGGAGCCTGGGGAGAGTGAAAACGGCCTTCCCCACCATCTCTGGAGGCCCTCCGGAAGTTGGCAAATGAGCTGTTTTTGCCCTCCAGAGGGCCTCCGGGGGCTGGGGAAGGCCATTTTCACCATCTCCAGCTCCTAGAAAGGCTCTGGAGCCTGGGGAGAGTGAAAAACGGGCCTTCCAATCCCATCGGAAGTCGGTATAATGGCAGTACTGCTGACTTATTAGAGGCTTCTGTTGCTCTTGCTTCCTCAAGTGCCGTTTTAAACGTGAGATTAGGTTTTGCTAGTAATCTTCTCTGTAGGCTGATGTCCCTCAATCCCAGAACAAGTCTATCTAGCATAGTTTCCTCTAAATTGCTGAATTCACAACAGGCTGTGGTTTTTCGTAGGGCAGTGACGTATTGGTTAATCGTCTCACCTTCTTTATTCCTACAGGAATAAACCTAACCCTAACCCATTCAGCCTTGTATCATCTGCATCTTTGATTGTCTTTATTTTCAAAGCGATTAATAAAAGCCTGAACAGAACTGACAGAATTTTGTGACATTCTGCTCAAATCACCTTTCAGTTCATAAAGGAACAGTGATGAGCATTTTCTGAGTAGTTTTTGAAAGCTCACCTGTCATGCCATCCAGTCCAAAGCTAAATGGTTGCCAATCAGAACGTCATGAGATTCTTTCTAAAATTTACTAAAAACAAAATACTTTAACTCATGTTTTTTTTAACACAACAGACTTCAAGAACTTACTGAATACTGCATAAGAGCAGTGGTGGGATTCTGCCGGTTCTATGGCCGAACTGTCTGTTAAATTGCTGGCTCACCCCACCCCTTGCCCCGCCCCGCCACACAACTATTTATTGGCCTCGGCCCTTGCAGCACACGAACTGTTTGTTAAATTGCTGGCTCGCTTGGCCCTCCCCATCACTATTTATTGCCAATAAATAGTGGTGGGAGGGGCGCGCAAGCCAACAATTTAACAAATGGTTCGGTGTTTTTTTGTAATTTATTGACCTCGCAGCACACCAAACCATTTGTTAAACTGCTGGCTTGTCCACCCCACCCACCACTATCTATTGGCCTCGCACGTAGTGTTGCACGGCTTGCCTGCAATTATTCTTTAGCTCCTCGACCACATGGCCCAGCCTGCTTTCCTAACTTTGCCCGCGGCGGCCTCCCACTCTGTTCCCAAATGCCCATCTTGTATTGCCTCCAACAGCTCCAGCAGCAGAATAGGCAAGTACAGCCGAGTGCTGCCCTCGGGGAAGCGGGGCTGGTGAAAAAGTGGTGGGTTGCTCCTGGTTTCTAGTAGTTCGGCGAACCGGTAATAACATTGCATGGCCACACCCCCGAACCAGTCCCCGACCCGGTCGCCATTCGCTTACCCCGCCCACCTCATCAGAGGCTTTTTTAAAAAAAAAATTAAAAGCATTTTTTCTACAACATCTTCGGCTGAAAAAATGCTTTTAAAAGTAAAAAATAAAAAGCCTCCGATGATTGCGCAGCTCAGCTGGGATCGTCAGAGGCTTCTAAAAGTATTTTTTTCTGCAACCTCTTTGACTGAAGAAGTTGTAGGGAAAAAAATGCCTTTAAAAGCTTCTGGCGATCCCAGCTGAGTTGCCTGATCGTCAGAGGCTTTTAAAAAAAGAGGGGGGGAGATAGAGAGATGGAGAGAAAGAGAGATGAAGGAGAGAAGGGGGGAGAGAGATGAAGGACAGAAAGAGAGGGGGGAGAAAGAAAGAGATGAAGAGAAACACAAGAGATACCTTTTTAAAAGAAAATACTGGGAGCCACGAAACCTGGGTGGGAGTAAGTAATATGGAGTTGGCAATGCCCACCCAGGTTTAAGTTTGTGTTTAAGTGTTTACATGTGTTTGAGTGTTTAAAGTTGCAGACCCCTGACCTACCCTATCCGATCGCTTTACCCTGCAGCCAGCCCTGTAGGCCTGCACCCTCCTCCCACCTGGGCAGCAGCGGCCTACCTACCCCGGTTGTATCACCTTGCCCTGCAGCCGGCCCAAATGCCCACCTCGGACTGCCTCTGACCACTCCAGCAGGTCATTTTTATTTAATTAATTTAATTAAGTGCTGCAATGGGCATAAATGATGACCGGTCAAAAGTGCGAGGACCTGTCAGAAATAACTTTTTTCAGCCCTCTGGGTAGTCCCTATGTGCATACGGACTACTCAGAGGGCTGAAAAAGTTATTTTTGACCAGTCCTCGCACTTACAACTGTCCTCACATTTTACGTTTTGCGCCCTATCTTGTCACCGTGGTGAAGAGAAGTAGTTGTAAAATGAGTGAAACGGTTGTTAAGAATGCTGCAACGGGCATAAATTTGAGAATGGTTATAAGTGTGAGGACCGGTCAAAAGTGTAGGGACCTATCAGAAATAATTTTTTTCAGCCCTCTGAGTAGTCCCTATATGCATACAGACTACTCAGAGGGCTGAAAAAGTTATTTTTGACCAGTCCTTGCACTTTTGACCGGTCCTCGCACTTACAACTGTCCTCACATTTTACGTTTTGCACCCTATCTTGTCACCGTGGTGAGGAGAAGTAGTTGTGAAATGAGTGACACGATTGTTAAGAATGCTGCAACGGGCATAAATGTGAGGATGGTCATAAGTGTGAGGACCAGTCAAAATTGCGAGAACCAGTCAGAAATGACTTTTTTCAGCCCTCTGAGTAGTCCCTATGCACATAACCACGCTCACCCGGTCACATGACCACCAAGCCACACCCCCAACTAAGCCACGCCCACAGAACCGGTTTTTTAAAAAATTGAATCCCACCACTGCATAAGAGTATTAGAGAATATCAGTTCAACTCTTTGCATTGCATGCTATAAAGAAGAAAGGTAGAGAAGTATAGGGCGAAGGTACTCTGACTCACCATGACTCAGAGATATATTGAATAGTATGTCAGATGCAGAGATTTGGAATAAGGAAATTATATCAAAAGACAAATTCAGTATTATAAAATTTAAAAAGTATTAGAATGGGTAGATAGAAAGGGAATTTTGTAGGATTAAGGTATCAGATTAGAAACTGGGAGACTGTGAGTTCTAGTCTTACTTTAGGCACAAAGCTAGCTGGGTGACCAAGGCGGTAAGGACAAACGACTTCCAAAATCTTGCCAAAAAACTGCAAAGATTAGTCAGGAGTCCAGACTGACTTGAAGGCACCAAATGTAATATGTATAATATGTACAGACAGAGCGAGAGGTAGGAGAGAGGGTGGGGGAGACAGCAATTATTTACATATATGTACACACAGGGGGGGGGAGGGGGGGGGGGGTTAGGGTAGACAGTGAAATTTAAAGGATTTAGAACAGCTAGGGTAGGTAGAGTGAGCAGTAATAGAAAGTAAGAAGAAAGAAGTTATAGAAAGTAGAAGGTAAGGGGAATCAAAGTTGAGGAAGTTGTAAAAGAAGAAGTAAGTGATTTTGGAAGAAGGAATAGGTGATTTTGAGAAGTGAACAATACAGCAGGAAGGCAAACGACCGTTGAACTGCTTAGGACACAGCAACGGAACCCCACACCAACCACCGCCAGTCCCGCAAAGCAGCTCAGGACAAGAGAGCCGAGAGGGGCGTGGCCAACGGGCGGAGTAGGGGGCGGGGGCGCCGACGGCGGGGGCGGTGACGGCGACCACGACGGGCAGGAGAACCAGGCGCGCGGCCGGGAGCGGGCCGGCCTCCGAGACCTCGCCAGCAACGGGGCCGGTGAGTAATAAAAAGGGGACGGGGCGGCGGGGCTCTGGCTGGGCTAGCTCAGCTGATGAGGAGAGCGGGACGCGGCTGGAAAGGGAGGCTCCCCCGGCTACAAAAGCCTCCGCCTGGTTCCCCTTTCGGGGCTGAAAATCTCGCGCCCCCGCCCCCCCCCGCGGAGAAGTCGTTACTGGGGCGCTCAGTGGGACGCGCCTCCCCTTTCTACCGCCCCCCCTTCCTTTTCAGACATCCCCCTTTTCAGGCTAAGAAAGGCAGTCGGCGCTCTGGAAGGGGGCAGTCAAGATGTCAGCCGCGGTGGGTAACCTGTCTCCGCTGCTCCCGCTGCCTTCACCTACCTACGCGTAGCCTAAGGCGGTCGGAATCGCTCCGGCCCCCCGGATGGCCCCGGCCAGGGTTAGCGGGAACAAATGGCGATTGTTTCCCCCCCCCCCCCGAGGGACTCTTGCATGTGTGCATTTGCCCAACTGCTTCCTCTTGCCAAAGCTTTGGGTCCTCGAACCTTTAAGGAAAAGGTTTGCGTTTGTGTGTGTGGCTCTTTTCTTACATAGAAGAAGTGCAAGTGGGGTACTTGTTGCCACCCGTCCTTTCGTTAGGGAAAGTGAAAGTTAAATAAGATAAGCTTTATTCTCGGTGTTTTTTCCCCTGTGGGACTCTGGCAAAAATTAAAAATGAAATTCTGTGGCCTGCTCTCAAAAGTGTACACATACATAACACACATATAGATATTTTATAACAGATTACCAGAGTTGGAAGGGACCTTGTAGGTCATCTAGTCCAACCCCTGCCCAAGCAGGAGACCCTCCCTACACCATGGCAGTCCAGTCTCTCTTTAGCGTCCAGTGATGAAGGCAAGCTGTTCCGTTGGTCACTGTCAGAAAATTTCTTCTTATTTCTAGGTTGAAGCTCTCCTTGATCAGTTTCCATCCATTATTCCTTGTCTGGCCTTCGGGCGCTTTGGAAAATAGCTTGGCTCCCTCCTCTCTGGGGCAGCCCCTCAAATATTGGAACCCTGCTATCATGTTTCCCCTGGTCTTTCTCTTCACTAAACTAGCCATGCCCAGTTCCTGCAACCGTTCATTGTATGTTTTAGCCTCCAGTCCACTAATCATCTTGGTTGCTCTTCTCTGCAGCCTTTCTAGAGCGCATAATAAACACGCATATGTATATACCTACACACTAACTATTTTGAACATTATTGAATACCTACAGTACCATAATGAGAAACAGGCAGCTTTAATGTTTTTGGATGCAGACAAAGCTTTTGACATCTTAAATTGGGTTTTTATGTTTAAAGTTTTGGAAGATAGGGACTTTGGGGGAAAATTTATTCAAGGGATCAAAGCAGTTTATACATCACAATAAGCAAAGATTATTAATAGAAATTTAAGTAAATAATGTGAAATTCAAAAGGGTACGAGGTAAGAAAGCCTCTTATCTACCCTGCTGTTTATATTGGTGTTGGAAGTTTTGAATATGGCTATTAGGCAAGATGAGAAAATAACAGACATAAATGTCAAAAAGGAAGTTGAGAGCATTTGCTGACGATTTAGTTATACTTTTACAAGACCTGAAAATTAATATAGAATATTTAATGAAGAAATTAAATGTTTGGAGCTTTAGTAGATTTTCAAATAAATAAACAGAAAACAACAATGCTTGTTAAGAATATGACCTCTCAATATAGTGAAATATTGACTAAAAAGTTGAGTTTTAAGGTAGAGAAAAATGTGAAATACCTGGGGTCAGGGGTGGGTTCTAAATTTTTTTACTACCGGTTCTGTGGGCGCGGCTTATTTTGTGGGTATGGCTTGGAGGTCATGTGACTGGGTGGGCGTGGCTAGCTGGTCATGTGACTGGGTGGCTATGGATGTGTATAGGGACTACTCAGAGGGCTGAAAAAAGTCATTTCTGACAGGTCCTCGCACTTTTGACTGGTCCTCACACTTATGACCATCTTCACATTTATGCCCGTGCAGCATTCTTAACAAGCATGTCACTCATTTCACAACTGCTTTTCTTCACCATGGTGATAAAATAGGGCAAAAAACATAAAATGTTAGGACAGTCGTAAATTCAAGGACTGGTCAAAAGTGCGAGGACCAGTCAAAAATAACTTTTTCAGCCCTCTGAGTAGTCCATGTGCACAAAAGGACTACCCAGAGGGCTGAAAAAAGTGATTTCTGACAGGTCCTCGCACTTTTGACTGGTCTTCGCACTTATGACTGGTCATCATTTATGCCCATTGTAGCATTCTTAACAACCGTGTCACTCATTTCACAACTGCTTCTCTTCACCATGGTGACAAAATAGGGCAAAAACGTAAAATGTGAGGACAGTTGTAAGTTCGAGGACTGGTCAAAAGTGCGAGGACCAGTCAAAAATAAATTTTTCAGCCTTCTGAGTAGTCCATATGCATAAAAGGATACAGCAATAGAGAGGGATGAAGGAAGGGAAGGGAAATTAGAGTAGGAGTGAGGGTAAGAGAGAGAGGAGGAGAAGGAGAAAGTAAGAGGAAGTAGGGAGGAGAAGAAGAGGGGGGGAAGAGAAAGTAAGAAGGAAAGAAAAGAGAGAGGTGGTAGGTTTGAGGAGAAAGATTGCTGTACAATAAAAAAGATGAAAGGGAAGAAAGCCAACCCCAAACAAATATAAAGATATTAAGATAGAGAATGAATTGTTAAACTTTAAAGAATAAAAGAGAACAAATATGAATAAATAGCAATAATTAGAAACACACATACAAACATACATTGTATTTTCTTTGAACAGAGTATTTGGCCGGTTCACAAATTTAAACAGTGTTTAGTCATTTCAATTACATTTACAATTTCTATATTTCCTTTTTGCCATATTTATTCCTCATCTATTTTTTTAAAAAAACCAATATCACCCTTCATTCTCATCTCTAATCTTAATCAAATTCAATTTTTCCCTTCTATTCTATATTATACCCCTTCGCATTGTCATCTGTTTTTATATCCATCCTCACATTGGTTAATTATGTAATTATGTAATACAATTGTTTAATACAAATTCAACATTTTAATATAAATCAATTAATTATATAACTATCTTTTTTGTATATTAATATGAACATGAATATTCCAATTATTTCCATGCAATCCAATTTCTTATAAATCAATTAATTATATTTACCAATAATAATAAACCAAATAATTTCCCCCATATATTCCTCTAAACCACAACTTAACCATTTCTGCTTTCAACACAATATACAATTAATAGTATCTCAATTATTACAATTCCCTAGTTAAATAGAGCTTTTTTCTTTTGTGTTTTAAAATCTTGAACCTCCTCTTTTGCCCTAAATTTCCCATTGTTTGCAGTTTTGCACCTATCTTTTTTGGTGAGGAAAAAGAAATCTCTCTCTGCCTCATTTTGTCACGTTGCAGCAAAGACCCTGCTTTACTTTCAGTTTCGCTTTTTCAGCATAGCTAGGGGAAAAAAATCTGCTCCACAAATTTACCTCTTTGCAGCTAGCTAGCAACAGAGCCCTCTGCAAAACAGCTGAGAGCAAATCAGCTGAGAGTCGGGACGCTGATCAAATCAACTTATGGTAATTAACCTATGCTTAAGCTGAAAGGGGCTGTTTTTTTCTATTTTTGCAGGCACCGGTCTATGCATTTGTTTTCTTTTAACACTGATCAGCTGTAGGGCGGCCCTTCGAAGCCCCGCAGCAAGAATTTAAACATTTTTTTTCCCTCTAGCCATCAGCTGGGACTCAGGAGGCAGCAATAGATTGGGAGTGGGCGAGGTAAGCGACCGGCGACCAGCGACCCAACAGAGGCAGAGGGTGAGTGTGAGTGAAGGCGTGGGGGGGGCGAGAGAGGGCTTTGGCGACCCCTGTGAAATGGCCGTTCGACCCCCAAAGGGGTCGCGACCCCCAGGTTGAGAACTGCTGCTCTAGATCCTTTCTAGGGGCTTGGGGAGGGCGAAAATGGCCTTCCCCACCCTCCTGGAGGCCGGAAACGGCCCGTTTGCCAAGTTCCAGTGGGACCGGAAGGCCCGAAAACCAGCTGGCGCTGAGCTCGCATGCCCACTGATATGCCATCTGTGGCACGCATACCATAGGTTCGCCATCACGGATCTACAATATTAATCATGCATTTGTTGCATCCACTTAAACAGGGATTTCCAATTGTTCTTTCCATCTCAAAAGAAACAACATGCAATGTGAACATATTATGAAATAAGCTTAGGCTCATGCGATATAAATGTAGATATACTTAAAAGGGGCAAACATAAAAAAGTCTAAATTAATTTTCTCTTAGCCATATGCAAATTAGTATTGTCAATTGATACTGTGATTAATAGATGTAAAAAGGAAAAATACAAAATGCTGATTGTGTGACATTCAATTTATCTTTTATTTTTGCAGCCAGAAAGTTTTTTGAAGTCACAATCTGGTCTATATTTGAACGAATAGTTCCCTCTAGTCCTAGAGTGACCTCTTTGCCTTCTTCTTTCAGAGTATGTAAATCTTCTGATTCCTGATCAAGTACCAAATGGTATGTTTCTTCTAGAATCTATAACAAAAAGAATGAATGAAATTATTTGCCAGCCATGCAAACCAGTTCCAAACCAGCTTCATGAATTAACCATGAAGTTAATCAATGTTCTTGTAATTAATATATTACTATATATATAAAAATACCGTATTTTTTGGAGTATAAGACGCACCGGAGTATAAGACGCACCTACCTTTTTTGTTTTGTTTTTTTTTTATAAAAAGTTTTTCATTTTTTAGACAAACACACATGCAAACATACAATGTATTTTCTTTGAACAGAGTATTTGGCCGGTTCACAAATTTAAACAGTGTTTAGTCATTTCAATTAAATTTACAATTTCTATATTTCCTTTTTGCCATATTTATTCCTCATCTTATATTTTTAAAAAACCAATATTACCCTTCATCGTCATCTCTAATCTTAATCAAATTCAATTTTTCTATTCTATATTATATCCCTTCCCATTGTCATCTATTTTAATATCCATCCTCACATTGGTTAATTATGTAATATTACAATTGTTTAATACAAATTCAACATTTTAAAATAAATCAATTAGTTATATAACTATCTTTTTTTGTATATTAATCAATATGAACATGAATATTCCAATTATTTCCATGCAATCCAATTTTTTACAAATCAACTAATTATATTTACCAATAATAATAAATCAAATAATTTTCCCCTCTTATGTTACTCATTTTCACATCTTAAACTCTCCCAATAACCCACAGTTTTGCAAAATCACAGCTTAATCATTTCTACTTTCATCACAATATATAATTAAAAATATTTCAATCATTACAATTTCCCTAATTAAATTTTAAAATGTTCTAGCTGTTATCCAAGCTATAATTTAATCCTTATAGTTTATCCAAGCTATAATTTAATCCTTTTTACTTTCACCACCATATACCATTAAAGGTATTTCAATTGTTACAGTTTATACTTATTCATATTTCTTAAAAAAATAAAAACCTATCATTGTCTAGATTTCAAAAATACAAAGACAAATATTCCAATTATTATTCATTTCATTTTTACAATCATGATTTCCCATTTATTTCTTACTACTATTCATATTTCAATTCTAAATATGTATACCATTTTTCTCTTTCATTTCTTTTTCTCCCTTCCCATTTTTATTTTTGCCTTTTTCTTTCTCCTTTTTTTCTTTTGTGTTTAAAATCTTGAACTCTCCTCTTTTGCCCTAAATTTCCCATTGTTTGCACCTACCTTTTTTGGTGAGGAAAAAGAAGAAAAAGTAATCTCCCTCTGCCTCTGCCTAATTTTGCCTCGTTACAGCAAACAGCCTGCTTTATTTTCAGTTTCGTTTTCAGCATAGCTTGATTAGCACAAGGGGAAAAAAAATCTGCTCCAGCAATTTACCTCTTTGCAGCAAGCAGCAGAGTCCTGCGCAAAACAGCTGAGAGCAAATCAGCTGAGAGTCGGGAGGCCGATCAAATCAACTTGTGCTAATTAGTCTATGCTGAAGCTGAAAGGAGCTGTCTTTTCTTGCTGTTTGCTTGCAAGGAGGTAACTGCTGCGAGGCACAGGCCAAAGGGTGGGGCCAGTGGGTGGGCAGGGCTACATTCGGTGTATAAGATGCACCTAAATTTTCACCCCCTTTTAGGAGGGGAAAAGGTGCGTCTTATACTCCAAAAAATACGGTAAACACTTTGTCAATAACTGATATTCTCTTCTTAATTCTCGTCTCGGAATTTGTTTTAACACTACCATTTCTTTCCCTTTATACTTCAGAGGGTCATCTCTTGCTCTCTGTAAAATTTCTGTTTTTATTGCTTTCTTGGGGAATCTAACATGCACCTCTCTCAGAAATCTGTTTCTCATAGCATATCTAGTATGTACTCTAAATATTTCATCAATCTCAGTCAGAAATTTTTCCTTGGTCACCTCCATCACTTCCGCCAGTAACTCCACCATTATCTCCGCTACTTTTTTTCCTCTTTTCTTCTTCCATATTCTGATATCTCAAATAATAATCTGCCTGATCCATCTCTAGAGAGACGCAGGTTCATGGACTGATCCAGATAGGAACCAGGCCGCGAGGCTGGAGGTGATCTGAAGGCACGACTTCCACCTCCAGGCATGCGGTGAGTCTGCAGGGCTGGGGTGGGAGATCAGCGGGGCCAGAGCCATCTTGCCCCGTGTAAAGGTTCCCTGCTGGCTGCATTTGCAACTGGCTTGCCACTACTGGTCTCCGCATTCTTCCTCCTCTTCCTTACCCTGCTCTTTCTGTTACCTCTTCCTCCTCCTCCTCAGGAACCACAACAGTCTTGGGCACATACAGTTTTAAGGAGAAGGCTTGTTTCTGCTGCTTTTGGCAAAAAGGAAAAACAGATTGATAGAATCAAAGCCAAAAGCCACGGTGCAACAAAGAACTCAGCTGGGTGAAGGCAAATTCCAGGTCAAGCAGTCCAAAACCAAACTGCAGATTTATGATCCCAAACCAATGGAAGGATGAGGTCTTGGTGAATGAGCCCCGGTTGTAAAGAACTGGATTCCAAACCAAAGGCATGGTATGAGAGGCCACGTGTTTAAATTGCTCCTAGCAACTTAAGGCTGTTTTCATGAGACTTAAATCTCCTGCCCACTGTGCACAACTGTACCTTAAGCTTGAGTGGTTCGTTCAGCATCTTGATACTTCCTCATGAGCCGCTGACTTCAGCAGGATGCAGAGATCTTGGGGGGAATAACCGTTATGAAGCAGGCAGTGTCGTAGTTGAGTCTGACTCTGAGGGCTGACATCAGGGACTCCACAGACTAAAATCACTAAAGCCAAGTAAAGCATTTTCGTACTGCAGTGTTACTAAGGTCTAAGACCCTGCTTACTTGCTGCATTGTACATTCTAAAAAGTACATAAATACTTTATGTACAGTTATGGAAGCCATCTCTTTCTTAGAGAACTTTCAGATGTTTTTTCGTTGGTTGATAACTTTGTAATGGCTGAAATGGATTTTTCAACCCATTCCTGAGGGGGTCAAGCAGTAAGTGGTTGGGCCTTCAAACGCAATATGACTGAGGCATATCTTGACCCAATCCTTGATTTCTTCCTCAAATTCTTCCAGATATTTCTGTTGGTGTTTTATCCAGGCATGTAGGATCCATGGTGCTAGGGAGGGCTTGTTTGGTTTATAAATATCTTTTTTCAAAGTTTTCAGGCATTCATTAAGCCACCCCAAGAGTTTTTTCCTTGATTGCTTTGATCTTTTATTCTGTAGATTTTGTAATGCGACTTTCAGCCATTGTATTTTTATGTCAGCTCCGAGACCATGCTTCTTTTTGTCACAATATTCCCACTGGATTTTTAATTCTTTGCATACAGTTTTTGTCTTGGAAGTCTTTGATGGGTCTGCTTTGATGTCTCTAGTTCTGTATAACACTGGGCAATTGTTATTATTGCGTAGTTGTTTCTCTCTAGAAAAATCAGAAGGTTATATATGAGTAGGAGGAGACAAGAGCAACTTTGGGCTTGTATTGAGGATTGATACCTTCCTCCCTCATCACATATAGGATTGACCCACAATTTTGAACTCTGCAGATCCACTGGGAATTGTGCCTAATTGCCCCACCAGACATTTGTGGCAGGATTACTAGGACTGAAGGGGAAGCATAATTTATTTCTTATATTTCCAATGAATTTACTAAGAATAATTAATTTCTCCTTGTCAATTATAATTTGTCTAGGATGTTTAGAACTGGGTGAAAAGAGTCAACTCTTATTTTCCCCCAACCTTGTTCCAGGCAATGTAATTCAATCCAAAACATTGCCAGAAAGCAAGGTGGTGACAACATTAGGCTTACGCAACGTGTTGCTGTTCTTCTCTTCTTGCTTCCAAGGCAGGAAGTTTTAGATCTTCTCCCTGCAATATGGGGAAAACGCCCTATATTAAAAAGATAAATTTACTGACAGTGATTAAAGACAATTTTTTCTAACAACAGGCTCGGGGTGGATTTTGACTGTTATTTATTCATCCTTAAATCTTAGGTACCAACTGATGCCACTGTTTGGTGGTATAGGGAACATTTCTGAAATACTGGAAAAAGATAAAATAGCGGTCCTTAGTGATATTAATGAGGTATTTCGGGTTTTTACTAATTATGCAAAGAGATATAACCACCCACGAGAAGTACATATTAGGTTTAACAAGTCGGTGTGGGAGGAGATCTATAAGAAATCTCGGGACCGAGCTGTAATATTTAGGGGAAAACAGATTTCAGTGCTGAGGCAAGTTCCAAGACGGGTTAGGGAAATCAGAAGGAATTACCAGCCTTTAACGCTACATCTGAGGAAGAATGGGATTATGTATAGGTGGTTATTGCCAGAAGGTCTCATGTTTACGTGGAATGATAGGAAAGTGAAAATAGAAAACCGCCGGGATGCTCAGGATTTTTATGAACACAATTTTAAATCCACACAATTAGAGCTGGAATTAGAAAGGGAGGAGGAGAGTAGAAGTTCAGAGGAATTGCAGGAAGAAAATAGTGTGGGAAACCAAGAAGAAAGGAAGGAGGAGGGGAAATTAGAGGAAAAAGGAGGGTGAGGCAGAAAGATGGTGTTACGAGAAACCCGGCAAACCAAGAAAAAAGTATTAGGAAAATAGGACTAATAGGAGGAGGGGAAGAAAGGTGGTGATGGGGGAAGAGGTGCGACTCATTTCTTTGAATGTTAATGGTTTAAATATTCCCTCTAAAAGAAGGAAAATACTAAATTTAGCGAAACTTAATTATGATATTACTTGCCTTCAAGAAATTCATATTAAAAAAATTCATGAGAAACTTCTGTTGTGTTCAAGACTTGGGAAGATGTATCATTCATCGGCAGATAAGAGGAAACGGGGGGGGGGGCGGTATATGTGAAGGATCACTTAAATTCTAAAGAAATTTTTAAAGATGAATAGAATTAGAAATAAGACAATTGAAATGTCTATTGGTTACTATTTATCCTCCGAATGGAAATCAGAAGTCTTTTTATGAACGTATATACAAAAAACTGATTGAATTAAAATATGACCATGTTTGCCTGATTGGGGACTTTAATGTTATATTGGACAGCAATTTGGACTATTCACCAGGTACTAAACTGCTGGGAGGAGAGGAAAAAATACATAGGAGGGGGTTGCCAAAGGAAGGAATCATGATGAGAGAAAAATTAGGCCTTCGGGACATATGGAGAGAGCAACACCCAGAGACGAGACAATATACATTTCACTCTTGCAGGCATAAGTCATAGTCGTGGATCGACATGGCCTGGATGATACTACAATTAGGGGAATATGTTTCTGAGATAGAGATTGGGGTTAATTATTGGGCTGATCACAACCCCTTGCTTGTAACATGGAGGGGCCAACAGAAAAAGAAAAGATGGAAGATGGATGTGAGGGTGCTGAAGGATGAGGAAGTTGTGACCTGGATTAAGAGAGAAACAGAATATTTCTTTAAAGAGAATAAGAGGATACGAGCCTGCAAAATAATTGGGATACTTATAAGGTGCTAATTAGGGGATTGGTAATAAAATATACAATAAGGAAGCGAAGACTAGAAAGGAAGGAACGATCAAATTTGATGGATGGGTTAGAATAGGTGGAAAAAGGATTACGAAACAAACCGATGATCAGGCATTATTAGAGGAAAAAAATTCAATTCGCCATAAAATAAATTTAATGGACCAAGAAGAAGTAGCTGAAAAATGCAGGTGAGCCAAACAAGGTTATTTTGAAAACACTAACAAGCCAGGAAGATGGATAACCTATAGAATTAAAAAGTTAAGGGAAAGAAGTAAAGTAGGTGGTTTGAAGGATGTGAATGGAAGATGGGTAACTGATGGGGAAGGTATGAAGGGAAGGGACGTTGGTCTTACCGTGATGTTCCTTCTCGTAGTGTAAAATGGGAGGTGCCAGGCTGGGATATTCTATGCTCTAGTTCTATGTCCTGAGGTGAAACTTCTGAAGATCCGCCTCCCTGGTGACGTCTCTTCATTTTGCCAACGAAGCCAAGGCGAATGGTACACAGTCCAGGTGAATGGTACGCAGTCTGAAAGACAGAAACAACACGCTCCATGAAGGGAGCCGGTCCAGGCAGCCAGGGTGGGGCTGGCACCTCCCATTTTACACTACGAGAAGGAACGTATCATGGTAAGACCAACGTCCCTTCTCCATAGTGTAGAAATGGGAGGTGCCCGGCTGGGATATACCAAAGACTGGCCAGCCCTAAGGGTGGGAGCTGTCCTGGGCCGACAACCCCGGATCTTCATGAACCCTCTGTAGCACTCATCTCCCAAACGCCGCCTCCGCCGATGCGAAGGAATCCAGTCTATAGTGGCGGATGAAGGGAGTGGGAGTAGTCCACGTAGCTGCCCTACATATGTCCTTGACAGACGCTTGAGTAGCCCAGGCCGCAGTTGTGGCAGCACTGCGAGTGGAGTGAGCCGTTATCCCTTGAGGCACCGGGAGAGCCTGAAGCTCATATGCGGATGAAATGCACATACAAAGCCACCTCCCCACCGTGGAAGAGGTCACCCTGTGGTCAAGAGTCGACGGCTGAAAGGAGACAAAAAGAGCCTCCATCTTCCGGAAAGAAGAGGTCCGAAAAATGTAAATACGGAGGGCCCTCCTCACATCCAAGGTGTGCCAGGTCTGCTCCAAGGCGTGCCTAGGCCGAGGACAGAAGTCTGGCAGGACCAACTCCTGTGCTTGGTGGAACAAGGAGTTGATCTTAGGAAGAAAGGCAGAGTCCAGCCGTAGGACCACCCTGTTGGAGTGAAAAATACACAGGTCTTTCCGCACCGATAATGCTGCCAACCCCGAGATCCGTTGGGCAGACGTGACGGCCACAGGGAAAGCTACTTTACACGAGAGGATGCGCAGACTAGCCTCCCTCAATGGTTCAAACGGTACCTTAGTCACTGCTTGTATGACCTTAGAGAGGTCCCATGTGGGATAACGGTGAAGAGGAGGGGTTTTTAAATTAGCTGCTCCTCGTAGGAAGGTCCTCACCCTCAGATGGTT